GAGCTGTCAGCACAGAGCCTGACGTGGGGCTCAAATTCACAAACCTGAACCAAAGTCAGCCCCTTAACCAACTGAGCCACCCAGGTGCGCCTCTGCCAAGGATTTTAAAGCAGCCAATGTAAAAATGCCTCAAGTCTTAATAGAAGATACAAGGAAGCAGATATAAGTTTTAGAACTGAAATCTGTAGTAATCAAAGTGAGAAATCAATAGATGGACTTATTAGAAGAAAGAATCCATGGATTTGAAGATAAATCCTAGAAATTATCCAATCTGAACAACAGCAGATAATTTGGAAAATAAGCACACAGCGCCTGGGTGGCGCAGTCGGTTAAGCGTCGACCGGCGGTCCGCGATCTGCGTGGTCGATGATTCCGACCCCAGCGTCGACTCTGGGCTGATGGCTCAGAAGGGCCTGTTCCGATTCTGTCTCCCTCTCTCTGCCTCCCCGTTCATGCTGTCTCTCTGTCCCAAAAAAAATAAATTAAAAAAAAAAAAAAAGGGCGCCTGGGTGGCGCAGTCCGATTCGCGTCGACTTCAGCCAGGTCGCGATCTCATGATCCCTCGTGAAGTTGGTAGCGTCGACTCTGGGCTGATGTTTCAGAGCCTGGAGCCTGTTTCCAACTGTGTCTCCCTCTCTCTCTCCTCCCAGTTCATATATGTCTCTCTCTCTCCCAAAAATAAATAAACGTTGAAAAAAAAATTAAAAAAAAAGAAAAGAAAAGAAGCACACAGAAACCAATAAAACAGAGTCTTGGACCTGCAGGACTGTAACATAAGCTCTAATATTCATGCCTTCAGAGTCTCAGAACGTGAGGAGAAAGAGGCTAGGACAGAAAAAAAATATGCAAAGAAATAGCTGAAAATCTCCCCAACATGGCAAAAGTTCCCCAAACCTGCAGAGTCCAGAAGCTGAATGAATCCCATGTGGGTCGGACCCAAAGAAATCCATGTTGAGCTACATCATACAATCAAACTTCCGCAAGCTAAAGAAGAGAAAAAAAAAAATCTTGAAAGCAGCAAGAGAGAAATGACACTTTACCTTATGGGGGGAGAAACTGTTCGAATGAGCGTGGACTTCTCACCAGAAACCATAGAGGCCAAGTGGAAGAAGCACATTTTTCAGGCCCTGAAAGAAAATTTCAACCGAGAAGTCTATATTCAGCAAAAATCACCTCGAGAGTAAAGGGGGAAATCAAGATATTCTCCGATGAAGGGTAACTAATATAAGTTGTCACCAGCAGACCTAAAAATAAAAAGGCGAAAGGAGGATCTCTAATCAGAAGGGAAATGATGAAGGAATCTTGGAACATCGGGGAGTAAGAGCAATGGAAGGAGTAAAACTATGGATACGGTTAGACTTGAGCATTTTCGGTTCCGTTTGACAGTTGAAGCAAAACGTGGAACACTGATGGATGTGGTTTTCAGAGTATGTAGAGGGAATATTTCAGGTTATTATAAACAGGAGAGCGTAAGGGGAGGTAAGGTTTCTACACGGCACTTAGACAAAGCGTCGATACCAGTGAACCATGACAAATACGTGTATCGTATCTAGAACAACTAGTTCAGAGGCTGTGCAATGTAATACACTCAAAAGCAACACCAAGTCAAAGTGGAATTCGAAACATTCAGGTGGCCCACGGGAGAGCAAGAAGAAGACAAAAATGGAAAAATCGAATAAACAAAAATAAAGTGGCAAAAAGTCACAAGGAAGTTCAAAGTCTCCTCAAACGTTTAATATAAGCTTGATTTCCCAGGTAGCATTCCATCCTCAGTGGGGTCACAGAATCCCACAGGTACTTCTCTCATGGCCTTATAACATGGATTGTAATTTTGTGTTTAGTCATTTGCCTCTTTTATCATTCTGAGTTTGTTAAGGATGGGAATTGTATTCCCATGTTTGTATAGCCCCAGCGCCTAATAAAGTACTCCTCCAATAGATGGGGGAAAAGATAAAGACTTGAACGGATTTAAAGATGTTGAATGTAAACAAATCCTTGGGGCGCCTGGGTGGCGCAGTCGGTTAGGCGTCCGACTTCAGCCAGGTCACGATCTCGCGGTCCGTGAGTTCGAGCCCCGTGTCGGGCTCTGGGCTGATGGCTCAGAGCCTGGAGCCTGTTTCCGATTCTGTGTCTCCCTCTCTCTCTGCCCCTCCCCCGTTCATGTTCTGTCTCTCTCTGTCCCAAAAATAAATAAACGTTGAAAAAAAAATTAAAAAACAAAACAAAAAAAAATCCTTGAGTCTCTAATAGAAGAGTCTATAAAAGATGCAGTCCGTCCCCCCAAAAGCCAAATCAGTCCTGATTTGTCACCATTGGATGTTATTGGACCAAATTTTTAGCCTGAAAATTGATAGTTAAAGGGAAAGAATTCAGATCTCTCCTGTGTTTTTAGCATTTCAGGATAACCAGATAACCTTAGTCAATGAGGTCCAGCTCTTCTTTACAGGAGATTTCTAGCTGAGGTAGAAGGAATGACAGAAAAACACCATTTTGTGACTCCCAGTTAAATACTTGATTGAAGCAAGGATCATCAAGGATAATAAAGCCATAAAGTGAAATGTTTATGTGATGTGAAACTGGTTATTTTGTGGTGCTAAAGAATCCCCTCCCATAAACAACCCAACCTCCTCAGTTGGTAAATGGTTGAAAACACTGGCCCAGCTACACAGTGGAATACTACTCAGAAAAGAAAAGAACTGATAATCATAATGACACAGATGGATCTCAAATGTACTATGCTAAGGGGCACCTCGCTGGCTCAGTTGGTGGACCTTGTGACTCTTGACCTCAGGGTAGTGAGTTCCAGCCCCACGTTGCACGTAGAGCCTACTTAAAAATGAAGTAAAAGTATTTTAAAAATGCATTATGCTAAAAAACCAGACTCAAAAGACTACCTACTGAAGATTCCATTTATATGGTGTTATGGAGGAGGCAAAAACTATAGGGACAGAAAACAGATCAGTGGTTGCCAGCAGATGGGGTGGAAGTGTGGACCAATAAGGTGTATAGGCAAATTTTGGGTGATGGAAATGTGTTATCTTTTGACTGTCGTGATGGTTATGTGAGTGTATGTATTTGTCAAAACTCACACTTTAATAGGGTGAATTTTACTATATATAAGTTATACCTTAATTTAAACAAAACAACCAACAAATAAATCACCCCGTAGATTGCTTAGTGGGCACAAGGTGTGAAACATACCTTTACAAAGCAGAGGTCTGGTGACCACCTCACCTGTGATCAATTTCAGCTGCACTAAAGTGGGACAACCAGATGTTGGGTGCCTCCTAATGTGAAGCAATTTTGGAGTACAGAGCAACACCTAAGAGAGATCTATCTAAGAAAACGTTCAGACAAATCCAGAATATGATGGGGCATCTCAACCGGCTTAGACTCCAGGAAGATCAAAAAAGAAAAAGAAAAAAGGGTGAGGTGGGTGGAAGAGGGTGGTTCAGTCAAGATCAAAAATGATTAAAGCTGGCCGCCTGGGTGGCTCAGTCAGTTAAGCGTCCAACTCTTGTTTTCCGCTCAGGTCATGATCTCGAAGATCGTGAGTTTGAGTCCTGCCTTGGGCTTTGTGCTGACAGCACAGAGCCTGCTTGGGATTCTCCTTTCCCCCTCCCCTCCCAGCCCTTCCCCCACTCCTCTCTCTCCTTTTCTCTCTCTCCAAATAAATAAATAAACCTTAAAAAATGATTAAAGAGTCATATAATCCTTGATCGGACTCTACTTTAAACAAACTAGCTATACAAGTCATTTTGGGGACAATTAGGGAAATCTGAATGTGGACTAGGTATTAGATGGTACTAATTTTATTAGGTATAGTAAACGTATTGTGGCTTTGTAGGATATTGCTTTTTAGAGATGCCTGTTGAGGTATTAGGGATGAAATGTCGTATTTTCCCCAGTTTACCTCAAAATACTTCCACCAAAATAAATGAGTAGATGGAGGAGGAGGAAGCAGAAGTAATAGGCAGGGGCAAATCAGGGCTATGGGTCCGGCACCTGTGCCTGCTCCACTGACGATGGAATGCAGGCTCCTTACAGAGGCCTCTTGAGACCAGACCTGACCTGACCTCACCTTGCTGTGTGTCTGTCCTCACCTCCCAGCCCTCCCCCCGGCCCCACCCCAGCCACACATGCCTTCTTTCAATGGGCCAATCCCTTTTCTGCCTGCAGGCCTTTGCAATGGCCTTTCCTTCCGTCTGGCATATCGTCCTGTCCCCCGCCAGCCAGCTGTCTCCTGAGGACTCAGCCTAAGCGTCACCTCAGAGAGTCCCTCCCCCACAGAACCATCTGAAGTGGGTTCTGCTTCTCTGCCCGCATTTTGTTGCTCGGCTGCACTTGCCACCGGGCAGGTGGTGATGATGTTTCTGTTTATGTGTTCTGTCTGTACGTTGGCATTTAGGGGCCACCACCGGGTCCCCAGGGTCTGCGTTTATCACGCACGGGTGCGCGCCCAGCGCCCAGCTGCAGGCGCCTCGGCCTCGGGCCATTGCTGCTGTTTCCTGCTGGCAGTGTCGACCCCGTCCGGGACTAGCCGGGTGACTCTCCCCGCCCCCGCCGGCCACGGAGACAGCGGCAACCCGAGACATCAGACCTGACCCCGCTGCTCGGCGCCGTTGGGAAGCCAGTTTTCCTCCTCCACCTCCCAGCCAGGTGACTGCCCCCAAACCTTTCCCGCACCCGGGGCCCCCAGCCCACCCCGCCCAGCCTCTGCCCTGCCCGAGAAACTACACTTCCCAGCAGGCGCGGGAGCGGAGACCTCAGCTCCCAGCGTGCTCTTAGGCGCGGCCCGGCCCCCGCGTTAACCCCTCAGTGGCCGCGGGCTGGCGGGAGCGGCGCGGGGCGCAGGTGTCCGGGGGCGTGGGGAAAAGCGGAGCTGAGGAGGGGATGAGATTAGAGGCCCTTGGGAAGGAAGGGACCTGGGGTTAGCCGAGGACGGGCAGCGAGGAGGAGGGTGAAGGGGAGGCGAACACTGCGGAAATTAGGAATCTGGACATTCACCTTTTCCCGAAAAACGAAACTTTTCTTTTCGGGTGCCAGCCCCCGACGGCGCTGAGGAGGTAAGGGAGTCTGCCCTAGCTAAACGGCCGCCTCTGTCCCACACACAACTTCACCTTGATC